AATGGCTTCACAAGTAATATGTTTATTCATGTTGTGTTAATTTTTGTTATTAATATTATACACATGTTTTTTGTGTGTTTTTTTTTTTTTTTTTTTTTTTTTGTAATATTGTACAGTAAATGCAACGAATCAATTGTGAAATAATATCATTTTTGCTTTACATGTTTTACGAGCTTATATAATCTTACAACGTACTTTATATTATACTTACAGAAGGAAACACCAAAAATAGTTCCGGTGGAAACACCGGAGCGTAAAAATTTATTCTTTACAGTAAGTACTATACTTTATTTTCTATTATATTTTATAAAGTAAAAATGTAATGATCGTGATTTTATAGAATATGTTATAGTGAACACCGTAATTTTTTTTTTATAAAATCATTCTATTACTTGTATATTGTAGACATCCTCTCCAAAAAACATGAGTGAAATGGAGGCTGAAGACGATAAAAATATAGATATCTCATCAATTCAATATGAATCGGAATTAAAACTCGTAAGTGAATTTATGTATTATGTCATAATTTTCATTGTACTATTCATGTACTTGACACATTTTATCTCAAATCATATTTAACGCTTGACATGTACTTTTTTTTTATTTTAAAAACTAGTAGTAATAATAATATTTTAATTGTTTTCAGGCTGAAGTCCAAATATACATTGGAGAGATTGAAAAAAAAACTAGAAAAAATAAAAAATATCACAAAATAAAACACTATATACACTTCAACTTACTAGTATATCTACATTCCTCAGTTATGTGTCTTAATAATAATAATCAAAATTTATCATCTGAGTTAACGTTTTTAAATTTCTATTTTTTTAAAATGTTACACAACGCATTTTTTGCTGAGTTTTTATTTTTGTTTGGGTGTTCTAAAGAAAATATGGGGAAAACTATTTTACAGGGCCAGCGTTGGGCAAAAAATGCAGGGAAAACCGAAAATTAAAGGACTTAGGTGGGACAAAGGGATTTTTTTAAAAGTATAAAAACTTTCTCAAACAACAGTACGTTTAAAAATGAAATTTTGTATCGTGGGAAAAATTTTTTCTCTTATTTATTTTTTAAAAAATATATGCTCTGTGTCAGCAGTGAATTACAGTTAAAAGGGGGGAAATCTCTTTAATCATTTTACGAAAATTTGGTCGGTACCCCTATTAAAACAGATTTTTATTGTCGGCATTATTTCCCAAAAAAATGACATCTCTATGATGAAAATCATTTTAAGGTCTGTTTTGAGTCATTTTTTAAAATTAACCCTATGGAAATTATCAGATTCCCAAAAAGGCTAAAAATTGGGAAACTTTCCAATATGTAATTAAAGTTTTTTTGTAAAATTGAAATGAGTTATAAAATATGATTTTTTAAACAAAATGCAAAATGCTGATTTAACCATTTGGGGCAATTTGCAAAAAAATAGGGGACAACCTATTATTTATGCTAGGGGGAAATTCGAAAAATCGGGATGGAGTAAAATAAGTATGATTGGGGAAAAAATTAAAGGCCAATGTTTCAGACATAAAATTCAAGACGGTTAAATTTTTGGGCCCACGTTTCTAAGGGTGTCCCACGGCAGCCCGATGGCGTCGCTAGAGTTACCCAAAATGCAATAAAATGTTGCGAAAAACCTGGGCCTTGTACTAGAGAAGCTGAAAAACAGTCTGATTCCTGTTCTCATTGTCTATTTTGGGGGGGCACAAACCCCCCATTCTTTTCCCGGGCCCGGGCTCAGAAAGGCTGTATAATTTCCATGTCACTGAATTTCTCGACTCTTCATATTTTTTCGGTTTTTTTTGTCTTTGATTAAAAATTTAATGGTTTCCCGTAACTTCCCTTTTTAAATTTGTTTTTCTCTCTGTATTTTCTTTAAAATTTATAAAATTTTTTTTTTTTAAAATTTTAAGCTTGATTCATATTTTTTCGTTCTTTTTTTTTTCCGGCGTTTCTTTTCTTGAGTAATTGAGGGGCAACCCGACTCCTTTGGGGTTTGGGGCACCCCCGCTCTTGCTGTTTATAAGTGCCCCCTCCCCTTGTTTACGGTTTACCTAAAAATCGTCAGACATTTTTCGAAAAGTTTTATTATAAGTTTTTTTTAATCCCGGGGTTTGTCCTTTACTTTGGGTTTTTAAATTAAAGCGATTTTTTGTTTTAACATATTTTCCCTATTTTATTCAACCCAAATAAAGCTTGTGTCGATTATCAGGTTATTGAATTTTTTTAAAATTTTTTGTCAAAGATTTTTTCAAACCGTTATTTTTTTTTGCCCTTTTACAAACCTCATAAATTTTAAACCAAAAAAAAAAGTCCGAATAAAGGTTATCGCGAAAAAGGTTTTTAATTTCTCTTTATTTTTGAAAATTCCGTTTTCCTTGTAATCTATTCAAATCACTGTCCCCGGATTTAGGTCGGGGAAAACTATTTTTAAAGTACTTTCGTATTAAATTATGAGGGGCTCATATTCAAAAACGCGGGCGGGGTTTCTTTTTTTTCCGTGATTTTCTCAATCCCTTGTCAGCTGTAAAAGGTTCTTTTTGTATTTTGTTTCGTAAAGGTTGGGGAGACGAAACCCCCTAAATATGCATCAGGGGGTTAAATTTTTACCCGAGCCTCATGATTTAGTCGGGAGCGCTTTTTCCATCTGTATTCGTCCCCCTAAGTTTTTCAATCTACTGTTGCCAGAAAGGTCCGACTTTTTTCCATTCTTTTTCTTCTTGGGGGAACCCAGTTTGGGAAAAATTTTGTTCACTTGTCGCGAATTTTTTTTTTTAGGTTATTTTTCCCCGCAATGATTGATGCTTTTTTGCGGGCAAAAGGGTTTTTTCCCCCCACACCGCTGTAAAAAGTTTTTTTACATACTCCCCTGTACTTTTATAAATTTTGGGGCTCCCCGTTTTTATAATTTTTTTTGTTCTTCCCTATTCTTTTTCCCCTTTTATTTTTTTGCAATCCCTTTTTGAAAAAGTTTGCATCCCGGGCGGGAAACGGGGGCTGGTATACCCCTCCATAAATATTTTTTGACAAGAGAAGCTTTTGTGTCGGGTGAGAGAAATTTCCAGGGTGAAGAAGTGGTTTTAATCCCCGCTTACAGGGGTCTATTTCCCGGGTAAATTATATCTTCGAAATAGTAAATCTGCCCTTTGCACCCTTTACCATCCCAAACCCCCCTGGGGGCGAAGATGAATGAAATAATTTCCCTTTACGTTGTTTTTTTTGCCATTTCCGATAATTCATTTACCATTTCCCCAGTTTTATATAAAATTGTACATATTTTTTCACTGAAAAAGTATAATTTTCAAAAAATTTTTTAAAATTTTCTTTTGAAAATCAGGAACCAAAAAAAAGAACACATTTACTTGGGTTTTTTTATTAAAGTGCCTTTTTTGGGTCCCTTATTTTGAACACCAAATATCAGCTCTAAATGTTTTTAAAGGGAAAAAATGTTTAAAATTTTTTTTATTTACTTTTTTTCTTGTACCTTAAAATTACAATAAAAATAGATTAAATTATATTGATTAATTTTTTAATTTTATAAATTTTGAGAAAAAACCCCCTAAAAGGCAAAAAGGTATTTTAAATCAACATTCAATTATATGCATTTTTATACTTTTAATTCTATTGATTGCGAAAAAAGTTTTCTTTTTCTTGGGTCGTCCACATAATTGAAATTCCATGTTTTTTGGGATTCGAAGGAGTTTTTTAATTTACGGGTCCTTAGATTTCGGTAAATGTCCCTTTGGTAATAGAGGGGTTCGTCGTAAGGTCTTCAATTTTTTTTTAAAATTACATATTTAATTGTCCCCGTGCTGAATTAACCACCCGGGGGGTTTGGTGTTACCCCTTTTCAAAATTGGGTTTTTCATGTTTTAAAAATTTATTTTTCCCAAATTATCCTTTTAAAATTTTGCGCATAAGATAAAAACAATTTTTCCAGTAATTTTTTATACAATTTTAATAAGCATATATTATGTTAAGATGACCATATTGATCATGATATCCCTTAGTGTTTTAATTGGGGGTTATATAGACTTATTGGGTTTGGGGAAGGGGAATTGGTATTAAATGTTATTTAAGAGGGCACTTTTTTCAAAACCCTATGCTATACTTATTAGTTTAACTCATTTGAGAGTTTTTTTTTTTTTTAGTATCATCATTGCTTTTTCGGTTTTAAAAAAAAAATTTTTCTTTCACCTTCAAATTGTGGGGGGTAAAAATACCCCCTTTTACTAAAAAAATTTTTAAAAAATATTTTGACATATTGAAACTTACCATTTTAATTGTATTATTTAATGGGATCATTCCTTTAAAAAAAAATAAAAAGATTTATCATAGTACTTTTTGGGTATTTTTTTCTATTTAACTCTATTTTCATGTTTTATGGCATTACATGCCTTATAGTTTGAAATGGCTACCATCTTCTCAAATCTTATTTGAAATACAAAAAGTGAACACATTTATATTTGATATACTTTATTCGTTATTAAATAATACAAAATAATTCTATATTGTACAAATAAAAATATGCCTTTAGGTCAGGGTAACGTATTTTACATGGCCAGCGATTGGCTAAAAAAAAGTGCAGGGAAAACCGTAAGATTCAATGGGACATTAGGTGATTGGACGAGAAGGTATTGTGTATAAGTATAAAAACTATTCCTCGAAACTAACAGTACATTGTTTTCTGAAAAAAAATGAAGTATTTTGTAAGTCTGTAGGATAATTTTTTACTCTGATATTTACCATTTTAAAAAAGTATATGTCAGTCCTGTGATCAGCAGTGAATTACAGTGTAAAGGGGGGTAATCCTCTTTGAAGTCATTTTACGAAAAATTTGGTCGGCTACCCCTATATAACGAGATGAGTTTTATGTGTCAGGCATGTCATTCTCCCAGAAAAATGACATCTCTATGATGAAAACTCAATTTTAAGGTCTGTTTTGAGGTCATTTCTTATAATGTAAGCCTATGGAAAATTAATACGAGTATCTGACCTAATACTTGTATACGATACTCGATATCATATATTTCCGTTCTGGCGGTATATACCCTTAGATCACTTCCCGTTTGAAGGAAAAAGTAAGTGGGGGAGTACTTATGACTACTCGAGCAATTATAGTACAATTCAGGGCTGCAGATAACATGCGTATTTGCGTTATTACCCACTTAAAATGTCAAACAAGAAACATGGCAATGCCACGAAACCAGGTTTTCAATTATCACCATTGTAGATAAATATGTTGTATTTGAAATACAAATACAAGCAACAAACAATGTAACTATGTGCAATGTAAAACATGAATAATGTAGGAGGAATTGCACAGAAGAAGTGTTCACTATATATTCTGTATAAGGAAAAAAACCAAAGGGCCATAATTAGGTAAAAAATTATCCAATCACAAAACCCCGACAATATGCGCCAGGGCACTTGATGACAAAGCTTCTGTGAAAGTTTGAACAAAATCCGTTAAGAAATGTAGGACGAGTTCAGCACAGAAGAATTTGTTCACTATATATTGCTAATTCTGTATAAGGAAAAAAAAAACAAAGGGCCATAATAAGGTCAAATATTATCCAATCCCAAAACCCATACAATATGCCCCAGGGCACTTGATAAAGCTTCTGTGAAAGTTTGGTCAAAATCTGTTGAGAAATGTAGAAGGAGTTGCGCACAGAAGAAATTGTTTACGCCCGCCCGCTCGCCGACATACCTCAATCTAATAACCAGTTTTTTCCTTCGGAAAACCTGGTTAAAAACCCAATAAAAATAATAACTTATATTATATCAGGCAGCTTGAAAATCTCCTAAGCCAATAAACAATAAAGCATAGTTACGTAAGTAGCTTTTTCATTACCTTACAAAACCTACAACAGTCAGAGTCTACAATGAAGGTCAGAAATTTTGGGTAAAATACATGAACTCGTGCTTTATAACCCGTATTTGTTAGAGAAGGTAGGGTGAAATAACTCTAAGAAAATAGAAACAAGAGGGCCATGATGGCCCTGAGGTCGCTCACCTGTATATAGGCCCCCCCAACCCCCAGCCCCCCAACGTTGCAGGGCCAATTTAACCCAAGGGCTTTTATTTGCACAAACTTGGTAGACACCCATAAGAAGATGTTTTTGATGCTAAACATCTAAGCTCTAGCTCATTGGGCTTTTTAAAAGAAGATTTTTTTTAAGTTTTTACTATACACATATAGTTAAAAACAATGACACCCCTGGGGCCGGGCCAGGGCTTTTATTTGAACAAACTTTGTAGACACTTACTAGAAGATGTTTCATGCTAAATATCTAAACTCTAGCTATTTGGGTTTTTTCAAAGAAGATTTTACGTTTTTGCTATACACATATAAAGAAAATCAATGACCCCCGGGGCAGGGCCAATTTTGACCCCAGGTCTTTTATTTGAACAAACTTTGTAGACACTCACTAAAAGATGTTTCATGCTTAATATCTTAACTCTAGCTATTTGTGTTTTTTCAAAGAAGATTTTTTAAGTTTTTGCTATACACATATAAGGAAAATCAATGACCCCCCGGGGCGGTGCCAATTTTGACCCCAGGGCTTTTATTTGAACAAACTTGGTAGACACCTATTAGAACATGTTTGATGCTAAATATCTTAGCCATAGCTCTTTGAGTTCTTTAAAAGAAGATTTTTTAAGTTTTTACTAAATGCATATAGGGAAAATCAATGACCCCCCGGGGCGGGGCCAATTTTGACCCCAGGGCTTTTATTTGAACAAACTTGGTAGACACTTATTAGAACATGTTTCATGCTAAATATCTTAGCTCTAACTCTTTTGGTTCTTCAAAAGTGGATTTTTTAAGTTTTTACTATATGCATATAGGGAAAATCAATGACCCCCTGGGGCGGGACCAATTTTGACCCCAGGGCTTTTATTTGAACAAACTTGGTAGACACTTATTAGAACATGTTTGATGCTCAATATCTTAGCCATAGCTCTTTGAGTTCTTTAAAAGAAGATTTTTTAAGTTTTACTATATGCATATAGGGAAAATCAATGACCCCCCAGGGCGGGGTCAATTTTGAGCCCAGGGCTTTTATTTGAACAAACTTGGTAGACACCCATTAGAACATGTTTCATGCTAAATATCTTAGCTCTAGCTCTTTGGGTTCTTTAAAAGAAGATATTTTAAGTTTTTACTATATGCATATAGGGAAAATCAATGACCCCCCGGGGCGGGGCCAATTTTGACCCCAGGGCTTTTATTTGAACAAACTTGGTAGACACTCACTAGAAGATGTTTCATGCCAAATATCTAAGCTCTAGCTCTTATGTTTTTTTAAAAGAAGATATTTAAAGTTTTTTCTTTCGGTTGCCATGGCAACCAGAGTTTTGCATGGAACAAAATTCTTTGAACAATCTTTAAAGGTGACCACCAAAGGAACATTCCTGTGAAGTTTGGATAAAATTGGCTTAGTGGTTTATGAGGAGATGTCATTTAAAGTTAAAGTTTACGGACAGACGCCGGACGGACGCCGGACGAAAAGCGATCACAAAAGCTCACCCTGTCACTTTGTGACAGGTGAGCTAAAAACCCAATAGATCACAAAACAAGGGGTAATTACCCAATATACACAAAATGTTATCTGTAGCCCTGGTACATAGGCAAACGCTTCAGTATAAAATAATAAGTTTTAAATTTTTGCATCTTTTTTTCTATAAAAGGTTTTCTATGACAGTATAATAATTGTTGCAATTGACTACTGTCCATCGTATAATATGCTCGGATTATATACATTTTTAACTAATATTTAATAATAAAACAGGAAATACAGTACGTAGATATACAATTAAGTGTCGAGTGTCTTAAATGTCAGATTGTATTGGTAATTAATGGTACAATATTCAAACTCACAAATCCTTGACTAGATGATATGTTGAGTGTTTTTGGAGAAGTTTACAATTAAGATCCTTATGATGTTGTTACCCATTTGAAACCACTTGACGCCATTTCCTGAAGTGGGTTAAAACCGGCCCAACTGTAGTAGGGGGAATTGGATATAGTGTAAGTCATGGCCACGCGACGTTCACTTGTGGTTGATGACAAAGAGCAAAAATAACCTGAAAATTGCAAAGTACCAAAGTACTGAACCGGTCTAGTTTGTTTTGTTTTTTAAATAACATCTGTTTCACAAGAAATTTATTATTCAGTTAGCTTATAAAAAATCAGTGCAACACAATTTTTTCTCCCTACTAATACTACTTTATTGTTGAATATAATGAAATCAAATATGATTTTTTGTATTAAAGTGTAAAAATTAAACTTTATACTTTTTGGAATTTCAGAAAAGAAACTTGTTTAACAGCCCGGAGGATGGGTCGCCGGTAAGTTTAATTTAATACATTTAATTTCAAGAAAATGAGAAACAATATTACATAAATTATTTTATGAAAACTTTCCAGTTAGCTTGTGAAAGGTTGGTGGTTGTACCTGGGTTCTTTCTTGACTGTACTAAAGTGCACTAGATGTTATAAAAAAACAAAACAACAACAAACGACTAATATTTTCACATCTATTGAATATGCAGTGAAATTGATATTGTTGGCCTTGATATGCTTTTTTCCAGATTATATTGTTCACACTGTTTAAGAGAAAACATTTTTTACATTTCAGTGTTGTCCATCCGGTGAAATATTGGAACAAGAAAGTACCACAATTGCTATAAAGGAGGTAAAAAATGATATATATTATTTCTAACAGGTTGTGCTGCATTTCTCATAAAGAGGTCTAGAAAACAAGCTTATACTTAATTAAACCTATAATGAAATTTAGCTGCTATGACTGACTCCCTTGTAAATTTCAATAAATGTATATAAACAAAAATGACTACAACATGAAATTGATGTGTTTTAAAAACTCCTGTTTTACACAACTATCTTGACATAGTCCCACTGAAGTCGCATATTATTTTTAAGTTTTGCTGACAACGATTTTTCACTTGCACCATGCTGTTAAAACATTGTTTTACATCAAAAAGAACTTCCGCAAACATTCAAACACAAAACTTTAATATATGTTCACATCATAAGGTCAAAAGAATGACAACAATTTCCCTTTACTTATACTTGTCAGCAGTGAGACTTTTTTGGTGCGGCCTCTTTGGTTAAGGGTCTTTTGGATCATTTATAATACTAAGCTGTTGAATGATTACCTGTTCTAATTGTTCAATATTGAACAAGAGCGATCAGTGATCACATGTGTCACCTCATGATGGCCAATTTCATGTTGGGACAAGTTTTGTGACAGACGGACAGTGCACAACAAGACTTGGTACTGATCATTCCTGTAAAGTTTGGATGAAATTGCACCAGTAGTTTATGAGGAGTAGTTCGGACAAGTTTTGTGACGGACGGACAGACGGATGTACTCACGAAATGGTACTTATGTGACTATTCCTTTGATCTTTTTAGCCATTTTTAGTCACACAAGGCTTAAAAAAGACACACAAGTAAAAACGGAATGAATAGCATCAAAGAGAATTTACTGTTACCCATTGTTCTCCAAGTCACACAAGTACCTCTGGGTTCGTACGGACAGACAGACGATGGAGAAGTGATCCCTATATGTCCCCACTACTCCGTAGAGGCGACACAACAAAAATCATATACTATACATACAACATGGCTACTGTAATAGCAAAAGGCAACAATGAAGCTGAAAAAATGATTTTACAACTTGAAACTTAAAACAGTGTCCGATTGTGGCAAGGAAAAATAAGAAGAAGGGTGTAAGCTGGGCTGCGTGCTGCGTACCTCTCACGGAATTTACCGAAGATTTATAAAAATATTAGGAGTACCCCAGGGCTCAGTCCTGGGACCCTTACTTTTCTTAATATATATAAATGACATACATCTGCATATAAAAAGATCTAATGCTAATATTTTTGCAGATGACACTTCGTTAACTTCTATAGGAAATACTGTACAAGAAGTCAATGAAAATCTTCAAACAGATATTGATAATGTTAACACATGGTGCATGCAAAACTCAATGGTACTAAATGCACTTAAAACAAAAGCTATGACTCTGTCAATTAGGAATACAAAATTAGAAAATAATGCTACACCTAAACTGTATCTTCATAACAAAGAAATAGAATTTACAGACACAGAAAAAGTACTAGGTGTCTATGTTGACAACAATCTCAAATGGAAAACTCAAATCCAAAAAAACTATTGGAAAAAGCAATTCACAACTCTACCTGCTTCTTAGAATTAAACAATATCTTGATCTTCATTCTAGAAAACTCTTTTTCAATGCATATATTCTGCCTCATTTAGACTACTGTTGCACTATATGGGGAAACTGTAGTAGTGAACTGCTTTCACAAATTATCAAATTTCAAAAAAGAGCTGCTAGAATAATCTTGGATAAAAGTTTTGATTCCCCATCAAATGAACTATTTAAAGAGCTTAATTGGATGTCCTTTGATCAAAGAATTATGTACAAAAAAGCTATTCTCATGTATAAATCTATAAATGAACCATCTTTTCCTAATTATATGAAAAATAAATTCCAAATGATAAATGACAAACACAACTTCAACTTAAGATCTCAGTGTTAGCGATTTTCCCTAACTTTACTGAGTACCTGGGACTCAGTGCTAATAGATCTGTTACGTCCCAATTCAAATGGAACGAGTCCTCAATTACAAAAATGTCAATGTTTGCATAACTTCATAATACAATCAAATTTGTGACTGTTGATGTTCGCGGATACCATTGATTGGCCCAAAACTAGGCCGAGCACTTGCTCCTAGTCTACGTTTGGGATATAAATCTGCATTGCTAATGAGAAGGGAACAAATCAAATTAAGGTGAAAGTCAAGTTCTTATAAATAATACAATTTATTAAAAGTGAATAGAAAATTTTTTTTTCAATTAAAGCAAAAAAACTTAAGAGATAAAAAAGGATGTGCATAATTTCCATACTGCCATCTACCCATATGTCAAGTTTAATAAATATGTTTTCAGTACTTTTTGTGTTATCACTGGATCCAGGTTATGTGTAAAATTTGCCATATTTTCAGTCTATTTGTTGCCATAGCAACCAGAATTTTCAACATAGGAAGAAAAGAAAAAGACGTGCATAATCTCCATACTGCCATCTATCCATATATCAAGTTTCATAAAAATATTTTCAGTACTTTTTGCGTTATCGCAGGATCCAGGTTATGTGTAAAATTTGCCATATTTTCAGTCTATTTGTTGCCATAGCAACCAGAATTTTCAACATAGGAAGAAAAGAAAAAGACGTGCATAATCTCCATACTGCCATCTATCCATATATCAAGTTTCATTAAAATATTTTCAGTACTTTTTGCGTTATCGCGGGATCCAGTTTTGTGGACGGATGGACTGACGGACGGGCAGACGGACGGAGGGTAAACCTAAAGTCCCCTCCGGTAAACCGGTAGGGGACTAATAACTAGATCTGCCACTATCATGGCCTGAATACCCCCGCATACCACTTTGTCAGAATCAACAGTGGCCATTTAGAGCTCAAGGACAACCTCCCTGCCAAATCTGAGGTTACTAAGCCAGTGCATTGCTAAGTTATGTATTCTACAGGCTTCAAATGTGAAAATGTCAAAATCAATACATTGCGGACAGGACATTCTTTAGCAATTGAGAAGAAAAGCTTTTTTTTGTCAAGGTCCCTGTGACCTTGACCTTTGACCCAGTGACCTCAAAATCAATAGGGGTCACCTTATAGTCATGATCAACATCCATGCCAAATATGAAGACTGTGGGTCAAAGGAATCTTAAGTTAATGGGTGGACAAACTTTTTGAAGTCAAAGTCCCTTTGACCTTGACCTTTGATCCAGTGACCTCAAAATCAAAAGGGGTCATCTACTAATCATGATCAACATCCATGCCAAATATGAAGACTGTGGGTCAAAGGAATCTAAAGTTATTGGGCAGACAAACTTTTTGAAGTCAAAGTCCCTGTGACCTTGACCTTTGACCTGGTGACCTCAAAATCAATAGGGGTCATCTACTAATCATGACTAACCTCCATTCCAAATATGAAAACTGTGGGTCAAATGAATCTTAAGTTATTGGGCGGACAAGCTTTTTGATGTCAAGGCCCCTGTGACCTTGACCTTAGACCTGGTGACCTCAAAGTCAATTGGGTTCATCTACTAATCATGACTAACCTAAATGCCAAATATGAAGACTGTGGGTCAAAGGAATCTTAAGTTATAGGGCGGACAAGCTTTTTGAACTCAAGGCCCCTGTGACCTTGACCTTTGACCTGGTGACCTCAAAATCAATAGGGGTCATCTACTAATCATGACTAACCTCAATGCCAAATATGAAGACTATGGGTCAAAGGAATCTTAAGTTATTGGGCAGACAAGCTTTTTGAAGTCAAGGCCCCTGTGACCTTGACCTTTGACCTGGTGACCTCAAAATCAATAGGGGTCATCTACTAATCATGACTTATCTCCATGCCAAATATGAAGACTGTGGGTCAAAGGAATCTTAAGTTATTGGGCGGACAAGCTTTTTGAAGTCAAGGCCCCTGTGACCTTGACCTTCGACCTGGTGACCTCAAAATCAATAGGGGTCATCTACTAATCAAGACTAACCTCCACGCCAAATATGACGACTGTAGGTCAAAGGAATCTTAAGTTATTGGGCGGACAAGCTTTTTAAAGTCAAGGCCACTGTGACCTTGACCTTTGACCTAGTGACCTCAAAATCAATAGGGGTCATCTACTAATCATGACTAACCTCCATGCCAAATATGAAGACTAAGGGTCAAAGGAATCTTAAGTTATTGGGCGGACAAGAAAAAACCGACGGACAGCCGGATAGCCGGATGGACGGACAAGCTGATTCCAGTATACCCCCCTTACAACTTTGTTGTGCGGGGGTATAATGAAGATAGATTCAGGTGAAGAGCAAGTGCTTAAACAAATACCTATTCCAATAATAACTGATAATGCATCTAATATTGTCAAAGGATGGACATAGCCGGTTAAACCACATATAAGATGTTTTGCACACTGTCTGAACCTAGCTGTTCAAAGGGCTATGCAGATAAATTTTGTTTCAAGACTACTCGGTAGAATGAGAATGGTTGTGACTTTTTTTCATTCAAGTTCAACAGCAACTAAGATTCTTCAAGATAACCAGAAGGCACTCAATCTGCCTCAAAGAAACTTGTTCAAGACATTACGACAAGGTGGAACTCTAGTTATGACATGATTAGTACATATTTGGATTTTTCTTTAACAAACTTGGTAGACACTAGGAGATTTTTTAAGATTTTCTGAAACACATACAGAAAATCAATGACTCTCCAGGACGGGGCCAATTTTGACCCCAAGGCTTTATTTGCACAAACTTGGTAGACACACACTAGAAGATGTTTCATCACAAATATCTAAGCTTTAGCTCTTTTGGGTTTTTTTCAAAGAAGATTTTTATTAAGTTTTTTCTTTCAGTTGCCATGGCAACCAAAGTTCTGCACGGAATTAAAGTCTTTGAACAATTTTTAAAGGTGACCCCCATAGGAACATTTCTGTGAAGTTTGGATGAAATTGGCTAAGAGGTTTTAGAGGAGATGTTGTTTAAAGTAAAAGTTAACGGACGGACGACTGACACCAAAAGAATTGTGATCACAAAAGATCACCTTGTCACTTTGTGACAGGTGAGCTAACAAGGAGCTCTTATTTGGGTTATAACTATAAATTGAATTGAATCACTCACCTTTGATGAAGATATATTCTTACCACTCTATGATTGTCTCTCTCCAACCAAAGTGTGTCTTCCAGTTCTACTGCCATTTTTCTAAGGTATAGCCTTTATAAAATTACCTGAAAAAATTTAGAGCTACATGTGACTTACAGAACTGCTCATGTAAACTGATCCAATTTCTTAACATAAACTGCATAGACTGACTTTATTGATCTGTCAATTATGAATACATTATAGCACTCATATGAAGTACCGGAGTGGCATAGTAGTGGTCCTAATATATGTTGGATGTGCATAGCAGGCAAGGTACATGTAATTGGTATGCTATTAGCAAGTCTTATGATACTAAGAGTAAGATATACATGATCTAAACAGAACTTGACCTAGATATTCTTTAAATAAATCTGTATACCAAATTTCAGTATTAAAAAATGAACGGAAATTGCAAATAATTTAAAAAAATCAAGTTCAAGGGGCATTACTCTTGTCAAAATTGCTGGATCATACCCAAAACAGAAATTGACATAGAAATCCTTATCATAAATCTGTATAACAAATTTCATTTCAGTATGTGCAACCTCTGCCAAGCTGCCAGTGGACCAACGGACAGACAGACAAACCAACCAACAGACAGCAAACAGATATTGCCCTCCTTCAAAGTGGGGCATAAATATTCTACTTATTAATATATATTTTCAGATTATTTAAGACAAGCCTTTATATATAGATGGATTATGAAAAGGAATTAACTTTTATTGAATTATTTTAAGCATTAAAATAACACCACTGACACCCTTGCAGTGTTTCCCACCTACCTGAGGTGTACTGGTAAGTAATGGGACTTTAATGAATGTTGTGCATTATTGCAAAACAAAAACTTATTTTATCTTGGACATTAAATACGATCCCTGTTTTTAAGCATTTTAACCACAAATATTGACAAATGTCAAATGCATGTGCAATTGCAGTTCTGCTTCATTTCACGCCATGCATGATGGTGCATAAAAGTTTACAATACCAAGAATGATAGAATAATGAATAAGACTGACATGTTGTAGTGTACTGACTTAGTTTTAGTATTAGCTCGCAAAAATTGCCAAATTCTTCATAGGTAATATTACAAATGGCATTTGTTATGTGCACAGGAACTGGTAAACTTGCTTCCGAACTGGGGAAACCAATCAGATTTAATCAAGCAGTATTTTTACTAGAAAAAAGAGAATATATTTCCTGATAATTGTCAGGTTTAAAGTCGAATCAAATATCTACTAACGGGTACATTTGTTTATACCAATAGTTTGTAAATTGCAGACAGCAAAAGTTGAAAAACTGCGCTGGAACTGGTCAAACAACTGTATACACTGAGCATGGAAAAGAAACAAGTGGTCTTATCAATAAGAGCTAGGGACTGGCACCCGGATTCCCTTGTATCTCGCAGCTGTCTCTGAAGTTACTAGTCTAAAGTCATGTCTACATCCCCGTGAGGGGTTTAACATTAAATGATTAATGCCAATAACGGAAGATAGATAAAATAAATAAATCAGGGTCATCTCGGCCTTAAACATACTCGCCACACACCCTCCAATTTTCGGCAATAATTTTCATCATAAAAGATTAATTGTTTACCTCCTGTGGCTTCCTGAGCGAAGGTGTCATAAACAGTTAAACTGTAATTAACAACTGGCCAGCATAAATTTTATTCGCCTGCAGGCAATTATTAATGCTCAAACACTGTGAAAATTACTGAGCACTAAAAATAAGGTGATGAAATCTACATGTTTCTGCGAATGTTTCAGGTATTTTTACCAAACGATAGGGGTGTGGATCGTCGGATAAGTGACGGTCCAATCCGAACCACGATTCAGCACTTACGATTTACAAATCGAACCACAAATCTTTTATTATCAAGACACCCATGAAAACATGTACAATAGTTATAAAAACATGTTTATTTAGAAAAAAACAGCAACAATACAAACAAGAGCTGTCGGTAGGACAGCAACGCTCGACTATTCTTAGTGCTTGATAGTAAAAAAAAATCCTTAATACAATTCCTCCTGTTTACAGGTTGGGGTAATGATGGTGTCAATGGACTTTGAAAATATTTGAACTATTACAAAAACTTTAACGTAAATTCTAAGTCGAAAAATTGGCATAATTCGGTCAAAATGCTTGATACAGTTACCTCCTCCTGTTTATAGGTTGGGATAATGATGGTGAACAAGTGTGCAAAGTTTCAAAGCCATATGTCAATGGACTTTGAAAATATTTGAACTATTACAAAAACTTTAACATAAATTCTAAGTCGAAAAAGGGGCATAATTCTGTCAAAATACTTGATACAGTTACCTTCTCCTGTCTACAGGTTGGGGTCATGATGGTGAACAAGTGTGCCAAGTTTCAAAGCCATATGTCAATGGACTTTGAAAATATTTGAACTATTACAAAAACTTTAACATAAGTGGTTACGCAGACGCGGACACAAACGCCGACGCCGACGCTCGGGTGATACAATAGCTCTACTTATTCTTATCGAATAGTCGAGCTAAAAATTTAATATATAAAATATAAACTTTGTTTATGTTTTTATTCTTTGGATGAGTATTTTTGTTTTGTTTTTTGAAACCAATTACTTCCTAGCTCAGCATCATGGTACATGGTCTTTTACCGGCAAATTGTTTTTAGGTAAACTTCATAAAAATAGATCGCGATCCACGATCTCTGGGCTTACGAATATTCATACTCGATTTTTTACTTTGATTCATGATTATTCGAGTACTCGGATACTAGCCCCAGCCCTACCAAACGACATGGCTAATTGTCCTTACTTAACATAGCTTTATTCTATTCTGTGACTGACTGAATTTACAAAGCCTTAATACTAATTATTGACATTTTGTTTATATCATTATATTTGCAAGTTGTAAATACAGGTTAGGTAATATAGGCTTTATGCCACTATGTAATTAAAAAAAAAATATATGGTTACTAATCAATGCCCCATTATACCTCCAAATGAAGTGTCCCGGAAATGAGTCTAAAAATTATGGCATTTATGCTTTCATTGTTTAACATTTTCATAGTAACAGACCTCTACTCAAGGTTATTGAAAAGTTTTATTGATAAAAATACCAATTTGTATCTGAATTTGTAGAGATGGGAAAAAATTGTGACATATATGCACGTTTTGCTTACTTAAGATTTTTAAAAAAAATATATCATTCAAACATCCATTGGTCGTGTTAAATGCAATTACATTTATTGTCATAAAAATTCAATTTAAAGATCAATATGTAGCATTTGTTGTCTTGATATCTCTTCTTGAAGATAATTTCAAATAATACGTACATGTAGAGTGGGTGGACCAACTCTTGGCATAAAAAAATAATATATTTGATATGACAAATTCAAATCAACGTCAACAAACCTCAATGTTATATGTCCATTTTCAAGGCCAATGATATTGTTTTAAATTCCCATTGTGTAAAATTCGCTCTGGGTACAGTACTACATAATGCAGGTTTGTTTTTCGAATAAAATCTTTTTTTATCTTATGAAGAACACATATTGAATAAATTGTAACAGCCAAATAAGGTTCATACATTTACAAGTACCCAACTTTTAGTTTAAATTTTACAGCCCCAGAACTCTAGTGTTAAAGATTTTAATAGAATTTAGTTTATATGTTGCTGATTAAATGTGTACATTTGTTTGTCTGCTATTAGCATTGTCACGTGACTTCAGCAGAAGTGAACCCCACCAGGATAAAATGGTGAGATGTTAATAAAAGCACCAGTGACCTAAATTGGAGATAACTTGGAACATTTTCAGATATTCTAAAAAAATATTTTTTACGCCGAGCATTGGTCGAACCACTCTACACGGCCAACTTTTTCGATTTCTGATACCTGCAGATCTGAATACTTCTATAGTAATTTACTCCTTAAATTTTTTTATAAACTTAACAATCTATATCCTAATAGGTTTTTAATAGAGGGCCAAATTGACCTGTGCCGAAATAGTATAGGGCCGAGTTGACCTTTTTCCAAAATCAATTTGCGTCATTCAAGTAGATTCTAAGCGGTCGGTCTATTTACCCCAAGACACCCCAAGACTACCCTAAGACACCCCAAGACTATCCCAAGACTGCCGTAAGACACCCCAAGATTACCCCAAGTAACTAGGTACAACCGATATCACTATTGGAATTAACTCCATGGAGTTGTGTGACAGGTTGGAATTAAAAATATAAGATGTAATTCTTGTGTTTCTTCAATCATAATTTAATAATATGTTTGTTTGTATGTGTTTGTATGTGATAACTAAAAATATAGCTTGAATTACATAGCAGCGACAATTAATGTTTGAAAAGTAGGAAAAGTACAATGGTCAATTAACCTTTTCCCTTATATAAGCGTGTTTCGAAGGCTTTTTGCCCCCCTCCCCTTTTTGAGGCCTCAAACAGTGAAAAAAATGCCCTATTTAGGCCCCAAACACTGTTTTTCGTTTGAGAAATGTTGTTAAAAAAAGTGACCACTTTTTCGGCGCCGTCCCCCATCCAAATATTACATCAGGGGGTTGCCAGAAGGGGGATGTGCCCCCTTCTGTTTGGGGGGTTTGAAGGGGGGCGGAGTCCCCCTCATCGCCAAGAAAATTTTGGACATGTGACAGGCTAAAAATGGCCTCAGGTCGATCTTAGGGTAACTAGTAACCGACGCTGAAAAGCCTTTTACTCTATCTCAATTCATTGAAAAGTTGCAGCACTTTGAAATCAGTTTTGATGGAAAAAAACAATGCAAAATAGTGATTTTTGGCAATTTTGAGACGTCCCCCCGTTGCCATGGTAACAGGACATTTACCATTGAGCATGCTGTTACAGAGGCTATGGTGTAGTAAACATTTGTGCCAAGTTTCATTAGTATTGAAGTTTTTTTCATAGTTTCATAGCAGTTTGAAATTGTTACTGGAGGCTTTTCAATGAAAACGGCCATTTTTCGCAATATGCTCATGGGGTAAAAGGTTAACATATGTATGAGTTTAAAGATATATTTCACTTGAAATAAAAAACAAGGATTTCAAAAAAATATAAGAACATTAAATTTTAATCTCTCTTTTTTAA